ACAGAAGGTGCCCGTATATCCAGGAGAGCACGTACAGGCTCCGCTCACATGGTCACAGAGGGCTCCATTCTCACACTGGCACAGCTGGGCACAGCCCCGACCATAAGTGCCATTCATACACTCTGTGAATTGGAGCATGCACATTACACAGTCTCTTGAATGTCCAACTAAAAAAAATGCCAATCCAAAAAAAAATAAACCCAGAAGACTCCCCACATGTGTCTCCATCTATCATTTTAAACAGAGATTTATATAACATGTAAAATCTACAGTTATACAGTATCAGGATCAAATAAAACATTTAAACTGTATTCTGCTTGTTAAACATAAAATCAAATAATCCAGAAAATACTGACTGTGGTGCTGTAACTAAAATCGCCCCACGGTGGCAGCATTTAGTAAAATATACAAAATGAGACAAAATGATTTACTAGCTAAGGCAATAACTTACTCTTTTCACATCGGTCTCCTGTGTAGCCGGCCGCACACGCACACTGACCACTGACTGGGTCACAGCCCAGAGACTGTTCATGGCACTGACAAGAACTGGTGCACCCTTGTCCCCAGAAACCAGGATGACATACTGCAAACATTACAGTGAAGGGTGGGTTATTTTCTCTGCTACTCTGTCAGATTTTCTCTTATTTTTGTCTCATTTGTTTACATTCTCACATGTTGCGCAATCGTGGCCTCTTTTTCCAAGAGGGCAAATGCATTTCCCAGTCTGTGGGTCACAACTGGCATCAGGGTGGCAAGAGCAAGGTGTTAGACAGCCTGGTCCATGGTACCCAGCAGGACACTCTACGCAACACAGGTGATTAATCAGACAACTGATTCTGTCACGAGCTTTCTATAATTAAATTTAATTAAAGTGTTCAAGCAAGTCGAGGAGATTACAGTAATTTCAAAATCCAAGTGTGACATCATCATTTTTTGTTTTTGTTTTTTAAAATTTGAGGTTGAATAAGAAAAAAAACATATTGTATGCCTCATTAAATATATTATCATCAGCATTAAGGTCAGCTACAGCTTACACATTTGGTTTATTAAATGATTTTTTTTTGTTTTAATCTCAGAAATTTCATGCAAACTCACTGTTTTGGCAGAGCTGTCCCATGAATCCTGGCTCACACTCACATGTACCGGTCTGCTTGTTGCACGAGCCTCTGTTCTGACACTCAGGACAAGAAGACTGGCACTCTGACCCCCAGAATCCATCAGGGCAGTCTGGGAAACAGCAAGTACCTTTCACTTTGATAGAGCAGTATGCAGTATTTATGTTTTTAACTTCTCAGATTTAATACACATTCGAATATTGTAGAAATTGTAGTAAAGTGCAGTTTTGAGCCATCCACGATTTTTTTTTTCAGACTTTTTTGTCATTTAAAGTCATCCTGAGCAATAGTGCTCAAGACTTTTTGTAGGTCTCTCAAAGCTTTTCTTTGGTCATTGACTGCTTTTTAGCTCATTTTCAGTCCAGTCCTGAGATGAACCAGTTTATACAAAATGGCAAAGACAACACAGTTTGAAAGGAATAAAAAAGGTATTTTTACACCAACAGAGGTAACTCCAAGAATCTGAAACCTTTCCCATATCGTCATGGTGAGCAGAAGAAGTGGGAGTCCTAAAATGATACTTCACAGCAGGAATTGAAAGTTGTCCTTAAGAAACAGGAAAAAATCCAACAAACATCTGACACAGGACCCCAAAGATCCATCTGACTCTTTAGATGAACAAGCTACTGCTCACTGAAGCCTCATCAAAAATGGTGTCAGTGTGAGGACGGCAGTCAAGAAATCATTCTTATGGAAGAAAAAAACAGAGAGAAGAAAGGCTGAGTTATGCCATACTACACAAGACCCACACTGAAAATCAGTGGCAACAGGTCAGGAATAATGAATCCAAATTTGACATTTTTGGTCCAAATTATTGTTTATATGTACGAGGGAGGTCGGGGATCTTGTAAAAAGTGATGGAGTTATGAAAACATGAGATTTTGATCCACTATGTAAGATCATCTGAAAAGTACAATCATACAACGATTCCAAACACACTGGTAAATCAATAAAAAATATACCTATATGGAAAAATAACACAATGGATCACTATCAGTTATGGACTGGCCTCCGCAGAGCCCAGACCTCTACATTACTGAAGCAGTGTGGGATCATCTTGACAGAGAACAGAACAAAAGTCAGCCAACATCCAAAGAAGAGCTTTGAATGTCCTTCAAGAAGCCTGGAGAACTATTCCTGAAGCCTGCTTAAAGAAATTAAAAGAAATATTGACTAAGGGAGTTCATGTTGTTTAAAGTTCGTCATAAAAGATATTGACTTACAAGCTTGTTAGGTGCAGTGATTTATTTAAAAATGTCCAAACATAACATGGAAACCCAGTATATAAGGCAAAAAATGTTTGTACAATTCTATTTATGTTTTTCCCAGCAAATTAAAGGAAAAGAGGGATGGCTCAAAACCTTTGCACATTTCTGTAACTCTCTGAGAGGGGTAACAAATGTCCAGCCTGCAAACAAGAAAGATAATTGATTGTCTTCTTTCTATTAATATAGGACATTGCAATAATGAATACCTTCCTGGCACGAGTGTCCCATCTTTCCATCAGGACAGATGCATTGTCCAGTTATGGGATCACAAGGAGCTCCACTGCAATCACAGGTCAGAAGACAGTTCTCTCCATAGCTTCCAGCTTGGCAGGCTAGCAACACAAAATACACAACAGACATGATGTAACAGGAGAAAAAATAAAAGACTGGGTTACACAACAGTGAAAAAAATAATTAAGAGAGGCAGCTGGACAAGTGAAAATGTTGAAATCATAATCACTTGATGCTTATTTATTCAGCCTCTGCCAAAAGCTCCTGCTGTAATAACTGAATTAAATCGCCCCTGTCATGACCTGGCCTGCAACTTAAGGTATGGACAACCTAGAGAAAAAGGAAAAAAACACTTTTATTTGGGTTGCAAACCCAGCAAGCCTAGGTTTGGACTGTGCACTAGTGCTGACACATGGTAACTCTGTTATCTTAGTCCGCTCCACAGAGACACATAGTGATGTTTTTACCAGAGGCTCCTGAGAAATATTCAGCATCACTCTAGAGCACAGCACAGAGGGTTGAACTTTCCATCAACCAGCAGAGTAAACAGCCAGAGGGCACCCCGCTGTACAGGAACCCTACTTTCTAGTTGTGTAGTTTGCAACAACAAGAACACCTGCACTGACCAGGTGAATTCATAGAACGCCTTTGATGCATTTCACCTACTACATCCGCGTAATCAGTCAAAGCTATCAAATGATGAATAGACTAAAGAGGCGAGGATAGAGGAGTAAAGAAAGATCTATATGCTTTGCGGGAAATTAAAAATGTGACAAAGCTGGGCAAACACATAACAAAATGCGCTGCTTTGAAAAAGGCACACAATTGCACAAGCAACAACTATGCAAACTATAAGCATGCGTGCTGACACGTGTCAGTATGCCGGCCCACGCAGTTCACAAATTCACACACATTATTACACTGTGCGGTCTTTCACTATAAAAGCTGTGACCACATGAGTGCACTGTGGAATCGACCTCTGTGGAATCGAGCTCTGTGGAGAACACTGCGTTTGTAGGGGTTAAAAGGAACGAGTGATATTATTAATGCGAGCCAAACATCTGAAAATAACTGCACTGCATACGTTAGACATCAAAATAACTGAACATGTGCTCTTACATTGGCTTTTACAAAGTGCTTTAAATCTTTTTTTTGTATTTTTTGCTTACCCAGTTGACAGTTATGTCCGTGAAGCCCTGCAGGACATTGCTGGCTGCACTCTCCAGTCTTGGGGTCACATGACCCTCCACCTGGACAGTCACATGGCTGCTCACAGCCGGGCCCGAAAAAGCCTGGATCGCATTCTACAATGAGACACGCAGATGCATAAAAGATTAAGATGATGTGCAGTCTCTAACAAAACATCTTGGATACCTTCATTGAGTAGAAGTTTGATTCTTAAAGACCTCCTAAACTCTTCTTCTTCTACACACTATTATACTAAAACTGTACTGCAAGGAAACAGCAAGACTCCCCTTTGTAGCTCACATTAGAGATGTGTTACTGCAACTGGAAACATATTTGTTCATGTTTAGAACCTTTAAAACAGCTGAGAAAGTAATACGCCCTCTTCTATTTTCAGCATTTGGCCTGAAAATGTAACCAAACACAAATCGTAACCACTTCATTCCTGTCAAGGAATAAACTTGCTTTTTATACCTTGTTCACATCGTGGGCCGTGATATGCAGCCTTGCAGAAACAGCTTCCCGTTTTGGGGTCACAGCCAGTGGAATGTTCTTGAACACAGTCGCACTCCTTGGAACAGCCCGCTCCGTGCGTCCACCTGGGACAAGCTGAGAGGTTTTAAAAACAGACAGAAAAAGGCTGATAGTATGGAAGTAGAAGGTTAGATTATCCTCTTGTGTTTGAGTAATACTACACAAAATACGTTCATTAGACTGATAGCTGCAGAAATGCTGCACTAAACCAACTTCACCTTCTGTTGTCTAAAGTTTAGCTGGTCACAATTTCATGGAAAAAAGGAAAATATATTGAAATTAAACATTCTTTGCTATCGAAATGCACTTAAGTATGAGCCAAACAAACACACCCAGTCACCATGTTATGACAACGATAGATTTCTGCTGGCTGAAGTCATGTGACCGCTGCCTCCTGTTTCTCCTGATTTATTGAACTTTGACTCCTCTGACTGTTTTTGCAAGTACTTTAACTTCTGCTTGTATATAAACGCATTTAATAAACAGACTTAAGTTTTGTGCATGACCTTTAAGTCTGACAATTGTTACATCCCTGTGGGTGAATCTTGCCAAAACTGTCCCCGCACAGCAACAAAAGCTGAGCTGCACTCCACCCTGTCCCTCTCGATATTGGCTTTATGTTAGGTGCAGCTGCAGGCTCCAGTTACACCCTCTCCACCCTCTCTAACGTCCCGCTGCAGGATGAAGCAGACAGCTGTGAGAATCTGATAATATCCCTTGTGCACATTCTTCCATCATTTAGTTGGGTCTAAGAAGAGCGAGCAGCTTCCACACTGAGAAATTAAGAGTAAAACTGCTGTCGCCATGTCCTTCCGGAGGCTTTGGAGCACCCCGAAAGCAATGGGGGACGTCAACATGGTGACAGAGGAGCTGAAGAATCTTTATTACAAGCGGCTGCTGCCAGTAGAAAAATACTATTCTTTCCATCACTTTCACTCACCAAGCTATGAGGACGCAGACTTTGACAACAAACCGATGGTGCTGGTGATGGGTCAGTACTCAACAGGAAAGACTACTTTTATCAGGTAAGCTCAGGACTTGGATCATTAAAAAGAAAAAAGGAAAAAAAGGATCTGCATGCATTAACTTGCCATGTTTTAAACAAAGGGAGATAACAGTGCTGGTTTGCACCATGTGTGTCTCAAGGTATCTCATAGAGCAAGATTTTCTTGGTAGCAGAGTTGGGCCAGAGCCAACCACTGACTGCTTCACTGCCCTCATGTATGGAGAAGTCGAGGGAATCATCCCTGGGAATGCCCTCACGATGGACCCGAAAAAGCCCTTTCGCAACCTCGACCCTTTTGGAAATTCGTTTCTGAACAGGTGATGAGCGTTCACAGAGGAGAATTCCTGTTTGTATAATGTACTGATAGGATTATGCTTTGCCATTATTCCTATAAATGAATCAAGTAATCCTGAAATGCATCACATTTACAGGTTTCAGTGTGTTCAGATGCCAAATCAGATCCTTGAGAGTATCAGCATAATTGACACGCCAGGCATCTTGACTGCTGCTAAAAGAAAACTGAGCCGAGGTGAGGCTGAATGTCTTCTAATTTCCCTTTTACTGCCAGAGGAAATTAACAAGCCTTTGCTTCTATTAATGTTGGACTGTGGGAGCAGAGTGATAAATGTAGTAGGCCCAGTGAAGTAGGAACATTTCAGCCAGCAAAATTCAAACACTTGAAGGCAGAAGCAAAGCTGATGAAAGCAGTATGACTTTGGGCTGGCAGGAGATAAGCTGAGAGGAACTGAAAAGCCTTTGCTTCGTTTTATGGACACATTTTTCAGTGGGTGTAACCAAAATGGCTTGAAACCAGTGAGGACCTCTGGGATGTGTAAAACGTTCCTCGATGGCTTGAGGCTGTGAGGCTGTGTTACATACAGTCTTAATGAAACCCCTATGTTTCTGTTCCTTCTCCCCAGGCTATGACTTCGCAGCAGTGCTGCGCTGGTTTGCAGAGCGTGTCGATCGGATCATCCTGCTGTTTGACGCGCATAAGCTGGAGTTTTCTGATGAGCTCACACGAGCATTCGGGGCCCTGTGCGGTTATGAGGACAAGTTGCGTGTGGTTCTCAACAAAGCTGACAGGGTGGACTCTCAGCATCTGATGAGAGTGTATGGCGCCCTCATGTGGTCACTGGGAAAAGTGTTTCGAACCCCTGAGATTTTACGGGTTTACATCGGATCCTTCTGGTCAGAGCCGAGGCAGATGTGCGACCACTACCAGCTGATAGAGTTGGAGGAGGAGGATTTGTTGGCCGATATAAGGAACCTGCCACGCAACGCTGCAGTACGCAAGCTGAATGACCTGGTGAAGAGGGCGCGCTTAGTGAGGGTCAGAAATCAGCTGTTTCAAATTCCAACCGGTACTTTGCATATACATTTACAAATCCAGCTGCTGTGGTGACCTTTGTGACTCTCTTGTGTTTCTTCACAGGCTCATGCACACATTATCAGCTATCTGAAGCAGGAGATGCCAACCATTTTTTGTAGAGAAAGCAAGAAGCATAATCTGATCTACCAGCTTCCCGTGATTTTTAACAAGATTCAGCAGCAGCATCGTGTCCCAGCTGGCGATTTCCCCGACTGCACAAAGATGCAGGTCAACAAAACAACTTCTTCGATTGTTGTTTAAATACCATATTTGTTAGATTTCATTTACTCTAATGTTCTGTGCTAGTCTCACATGCGATTGCACATATTTTCAGGAGAAACTTTTGGGGCAAGACTTCTCAAAGTTCAAGAAGCTGAAACCGAGTCTTATGGCCTCCTTGGATAAACTCCTCAGCACTGACATCGCCAAGCTGGTCCCCTACATCCAACAACAAGAACAGAGAAAGAGATCCCTCCACGGAGTGCTGGACGGGGAATTTTTGAGAACATTCAAGCCCGAGCATTACAGCAGAGACCCGTTCAAAGAACCTCCCGTAGATGAGGGGAGCGAGCTAGATTTCGATGAGTGGGTAGTGGAGAAATACAAACCCAAATACGATGAGATTTTCTACAACCTCAGTCCAACTGAGGGCAAACTTAGCGGAACCAAAGTCAAAGAGTGGATGACAAAGACTCTTCTGCCCAACTCTGTGCTCGCCCACATCTGGAGGCTGTCCGATGTAGACGGGGATGGCATGCTGGACGATGAGGAGTTTGCTTTGGCGGTCCACCTCATCGAGGAGAAAGTGGAGGGCCACTGGCTCCCCAGAGAGCTGCCTCCACACCTGGTGCCACCATCAAAACGGCTAAGTGAAGCAAGCGACGTGTCGGTGTGAACTTGTCATCCAAAGGAAACGGAAAGCTGAGAACGTGTATTCATTACAAGTAAAATTAATGTAGATTTTTGACAATGTTGGCAGTTTGAGTACTATGAAAACTGAAGTGTGTGTGTGTGTGTGTGTGTGTGTGTGTGTGCAAACCTGAAAACGTATTAACAGCTGACACAACCTAATGCTTACTGTTACTGGTTATGAATGATTTGATTTTGAAGTATTATTCACACTTTTTTTGACAACTACGTTATTATTGTCATCTTATAAGGAAACACAACAGCAAATATTGTCAGTTGCATGGACAGTCTCTCTTCAGCTAATGCAGTAAAAGTTTCATATTTCCTGACTGATAAGCTTTTCTTTAATATGTGACATTAAAAACATTGACATTGCTATCACCAATATTTTGAACTCTAACAATTCTCACTCACCCAGGTGGCAAAAACGCCCATATAATCCTGGAGGGCACAGGCAGCCTCCATAGAGACGATGGCAGTGCACACTGTTGGGACAGTTGCACTTTCTTCTGCACTGCCTCCCAAAAAAACCCTTTGGGCAACCTGTGAGCAAGAATAATGCCAAATAAATTAGTCCCTGCTTAGATTCAAAAATACAACAGAGCCCACATGCCTCATTTGTGAGAAGACATCTTTAATAATGGTAATGACTCATTCAGCACACACTGAAGCAGAATATAGGGCAGTGATTTCCAAAAACTGGGATATCAAGATGAATCTAGTTACTTATAAGATAATCGCCCTGGTATGAAACAGCATAAATCTTTTTAATGACTCGTCAGCTTTAGAGGATAAAAGCATTCTGACAGATGTCTAATCACATAGTCAAATTCATGTGGAGGGGGTCGCAAGCAAACTAGACCCAGGTGGTTGCATGCGTCTGTAGGAATGCGTGTATACAAACCATCCTCGCAGAGCAAGCCTTGCACCCCAGGGGGGCACAAACACTTGCCAGTCACAGGGTCACAGGAGCCTCCATTCTGACAGCGACACAGGCTGTTGCAGGCCTGCCCGTAGCTCCCCTGTGGACAAGCTGAAGAGAAAGGAGATGAAGATTTTTTTTGGCTCAAAAAAAGTTCAGTGTGGAAATCCAAAGATATATATATATTTTTTAAATTTGAAAATAAACACATCAAAAGCTAGAGTTTTGGTCTAGGCAGTAAACACTTTCAGCTTCCGTCCTCTCTTTCCTGGTGTTGTGGGTTTGCCTGACTTTCTTAATCTCAATGGCCTTGTTAGCAGTTCTGAGAAGAAACAGCTGGCTGTTTAAGACGTGCTCAAGTATTCGAATCCATCAAGTTAACTGCTGCTTAACTTCCAAATCGCAGCTTCTTTACAACAGTTTTATATCGCAGGATGAAATTGTTTAAAATAGTGTAGCAACGGCAGCACCCTGTGGAACAGGATAAGAACAGGAAATATGAATGAATTAATATATAAATGAAGGGACAAGACGTATTTAGAGAAATCATAATAATATATGAAAAAGGCAGTGAACAGGTGAGTAGGCAAGGGTGTCGTTTTGTATTGAGGTACCCTCTTGACCAGGTTCTCCCTAGAAAAAAAGTTTGTAATCTCAAGGGACTTCCTGGTTAAATAAAATAAATACTTAAGGCATCCTGAGGCAACATGTATAACAAAGAGAGCTCGTTTTAAACACCATAAATACTTGTAATGCTTCAACAGCCGTATTAAGAGTTGGCACACTATTTCAGCGATATGATTCAAATATAATTCAATTATTTGAGATGTGGGAAAGAGTAACCCAGTTAATTATATATTTTTTATATATATACACAACTTCATACAATAAAAATGTTATATCTCACATTTTTTAAAGGCCAAACATGGCCCATATTTTTTTTCCTTATAGCCCCCTATGTTGTTGCCTACTGCACCATTCCCCATATCTTTGCCTCAGGCAGCAATATTCCTCATCTACTCCACCTGAAAATGCTGCCCAGGCCCATCACCTTCAGGGTGTGCATCTGAACACTGCCTCCCTCAGACTCTCGTTTCAGATTGCTTCTAATGGACTTATCACACGTGGCTCTCCTCCTCAGGTTCAGACCAAAAGACAGCCATTAATCACAGAGCTGGATGGGAACAATGAAGCTTTGCTTTGTAACCCAGTAGTGGACATCCTTGGCCTCAGGCTGTGCTCTTGCTGTGGGTCCTGGCCACACTGTAGTAGCAGACAAATTGATTCCCCTGGCCCTCTTGTGTTCTGGAGCCCATAAACAACACAGCCTCCCACACAGGAGCCGTCAGGCTTTGATACATGACGCTGGATCGATGCACACAGGGAGCTATGTCATCTTTCTTTAACTAGACCATACTGCTAAAGGCAGTTCAAATAGCTCTGGGAAAACATGTGCTACAATCCAGGCTATGTGCATGCCTGTCTATGCTGTACTGTTCAATGTACAACTGAATCAGATATGTGATCTGGACATGACTCATTCGATTTGGTCAATTTTCCCATACAAATAAATAAATAAATAAATGTCTCCCCTTCATCCCTTTCTGTCTGAAAGTGAGATGAGAAGATGATCATGTGCCACTTAAAATAATGGTAAATATGGAGCCAGTTTCCCCTCTAAGGCTTTGTCATAATGTGTCATTTGTATACGAAATACTTTTATAAAGCCACAATTTTTAAATTTTTTGTGCAAAATAAGCCAATGAGATATAGCCTAGTATTTAGAAATCCCACCATATAGTTTTTATTACTTCTGGATGGAGCAAAGTCGTCATGCTAAGCTAACTTGCTACAGTACACTGATGACAGGTGGCACATGATTTAGCCCGAAGGACAGTGTTTGTGTTATGAAGGAAAGACGTCACTTCAGAACACTTTTAAAGATCCTCACTCTCGTTGCAGATGACCCCCGTCCAGCCAGGCGAACATTCGCATCGGTCTCTGTTTTCGTTGCACGCTCCATGCACGCAGTCTTCACAGCTTACACTGCAGTCCTCCCCAAATGAGTCATCTAGACACACTAAAAAAGGAAATTCCAAAGGAAATTCCTGAAGATCATCAACATTTAATAGGAAAACAAAAGGAGAGTAATAAAATAATAGTGATCTGGTCAGGCACAAAGTGCAGACTCAGCACACATGCTATGTTTTTCTTGTTTTGGGGTTTTGTTTTTTTACTGTACCTATGTCACTTTCCAGTCTGAGCTCTCCCCTGCGCTCTCTCAGGATCTCTAATACTTTTTCACTGTCACCACGGTGACTACCATCGTCGTCATCATCTTCGCTGCCGTAATGGGAGCGCAAGGCTGCCGTGTACTGCAGGAGCTGAGGAGCGTTGCGGAACAGCAGGTCTGGTAATCTGCCAGCCTCGAGCTGCACTTCCTCATCTTCTTCATCTTCCTCTTCCAGCTCTCTGCCGTAAAGAGCTAAAGAGACCAAGTACAATGTTATATGTCAAGAAGAAATGCAGAGTGGTATTTGGAAAGCTGAAAATGTTACTCACACACGCAAGAGCGCCGGTCCTCATTCAAACGGAAACCCTGTTGACAAAAGCACTCGTACGCTCCCAGACTGTTGATGCAGTATTGTTCACAGTCCGAGGTCTCTGCCAGACACTCGTCAATGTCTAACAGAAGAAAATGCAAACATAGTGCAAGTATATGAAAAGGTAGTGTAGCACTGCAAGATGACACAGATATGGATTTTTTTTCTACCCATCCAGAAGTTGCACTTGACTGTACATCGCTTTTTGAGTAAAATGTTCTTTCCCCCCCTTTTCTAGTAGGAACTGGCCTTGAAAGGATTAATTTTTCAGGACTCACTTAGTAAATACGCTTTTTAGAATTTGTGTCATACACAGCTTTGCCACAACACAGAAAACCTTAATAAGTACCAGACTAGATGATCTGCTAAGAGTCCAACCTTACCGTCACAGCTGCAACCGTCTGGATTTAGTCTGTAACCAGGCCAGCAGCTGCACTCATAGCCGCCTGGATAATTTTTACAGAAGTGGCTGCAGCAGGACTCCTCACTCACACACTCATTATTATCTGTGGAAAGTATTAAAGAGCTGGTATGAAGAGATCCTTCTAAAGGACTGAAGCACAGAGCCAAAACACATTAAATGAAACAGGTGAAAACAAAATAAAGAAATAAAGACAGAGTACTATGTCTTTAAAGCATTTTTAGTACTTAAATATATATACATATATATATATATATATATATATATATATATACACACACATATATAGAAGGTCTGACCTACACAGGTCTTCCTGTCTTGGTCCAGCTGGTAGCCCTGGTTACAGGAGCAAAGAGGGCCATTGGTGGTATGTTCACAATGATGAGAGCAACCTCCGTTGTTCTTCTCGCAGCTGTTTACAATCTCCATCTCAATGCCTGGAGATGAAAGGATCAAACCGCAACAACAGTACACACCCACAGATGAAATACAGGGTCAATGACAGGGGGCATTTTTGGCTAATAGTGACTCTGTAAATCACATTTAATTTTGCATTTTATATGCTCAACATAAATACCTAATGAGAGTATGATGGATTTAAATAGGATATAACTTAGGACTCGGTTGAATTTAGAGGCATATCACGCATGTCAGTCCTGTGTGCTACACTGAAATATTTACAAGCAAAGTTTTGTGATTCAAATTAAAGAGCAGTTTACAAGTAACCTGGTATTTGCGTTGTGTTCTGTTGTTAGCAGAAAAAAAAAGGAAATGATTTTAGAATGTGCAATCTGCACCAGCCTGCGCTATAGTGTGTAGTGGTATTCATATTTATTTAGCAAGGGAAAGGTTACTAGTTCAATTCCCATTACAGTCAAAAAATCCCTTTGGGGTGGCATCAGGAAGGGCACTTGGTGTAAAATAAAACTCAAATATGTGGAGCTACCTGACGTGGTGACAACTTCTCACAGCCGAGCAGCCGAAAGCCATTTTGTTAAAATTGTAATGTAAAAATTAAAAAAAATTAAAAAAAACTAAGGCACATTTGAATCAGAACATTTTCAACTAAGTCATTCTAAAATGATGTAAGTTGTTCCCTTATTTGCATAATAAAAAGCACTCAGCAGTCTTTACAGTTTGTGGAAGGTAGGCTGAAGTTCTTACTTACGGTAGCATTGTTTAGCATCAGCACCGAGTTCAAAACCCGGATGACACACACAGCTAAAGGAGCCCAACATGTTGACACAACCGTGGGAACACTTGGCATGGCCAGAGCTGCACTCATCAATGTCTATAAGAGGCAA